TGTTAGATAAACACTTATTAAACCTTCTACGATCAAGAGCCTACATTTTTATATATAATCTTTAATCATTTCGAATATATAAACGAATTCATTTTATGGAGAATCTTTATTTACAAAAGCCCTTATACTGTGCAATAATCATCCCTTAATGGATTAAGGTAAAGGAGAAGAATGAAAATTTTTAAAATTTATTTCACTCTGCAAAGTAAAAATGACAAATTTTATCGAGCAGAATAGCATATATTTTACGAAGCCGTGAGTGACAAGGGCTCCGTGGCTTAGTTGGTTAAAGCGCCTGTCTAGTAAACAGGAGATCGTGAGTTCGAATCTCGCCGGGGCCTTCTGCGACTTTGATGCAATGTGAGGATATCTGCTTCTTTTTTTTTTTTTTTTTTAATCCTTTCGCTACCAACGTCCCATATAAGTGACGACCAAATTTTCTTACCAGTGCCCGGCGTCACAAATACGTGACAGGTGTTCATTATTCGTTTATGATAATTGTTTTACCATATTTGATGACACGTCACAAAGCACAGTATCACTTATGTGTGTGTCGGTTTGTAAAATTGCGTATTTCACTTAGAACGTTAGACATTCATACCCCAAAACTATAAATGACAATTAAATAATAACATGTCTCGGCTGCTATGATGGATTTTTCTCCTCACGCTCTGTTAGCGATAGACTTCACTATGACCAATCATTTAGCTGATGTCCACCTTTTCGTATAACACTGTGACGGTAAACAAAGATAAATAAAGATATTTTTTTAATTACTATAACAACAATATTTTCGTATGTATTTTGCAAAATTCTTTTCTTCTTCCTGATATCATCTTTTATCCCTGTTCTTCTTCCCTTACATTTTTCATCGATGAATTATGGGAAAAGGAAGAATATTCTAATATTAGAGCGTAAATATATTGCGGCTTGCGATTTACAAATCAATTTTCTACAATTTATCCTTTGGATGCAACTGCGAATGCAATTAATTTAAAGCGACATGACACTAATCGCAATGATGACGACGATTAATATGAAAATTGAAAAGAAGAAAAAAAAAAAAGCCGATTATCTCATAAATTTCTCCAACACTTATTGACGGACATAATTAGGTCATATTTAATAAAAGCCTTAGCCCGTTAAAGGCAAACGCAACGCTTGAATGATGAATTCATGGTAATTAACGATTTCAAAAGAAACACTTATTACTTCGTCTCATGAAAGAAGCAAAAAAAAAAAAAAAAAAACTCGCTTCATTCAAAAGTTTATGATTGAGATGCAGATTCAAATTTGGAAAAATTTTTTCCCAAAAGGCAGACAGACATTTCTCTCATAATATAAGGTGTGAATGTTTATAAAAAAAAAAAATTTAAAAAAAAAACATTTTTTTTTTGCTTAAAGAAGTGATTAACATGTTAATTATTGCGGCGATTGTTTATGTCGGTTAAGGAGTTGCTAACAAAGAAAGGAAACGATAAGTTTGAGTTAACGGTTAACAATTTTTGGGTAACACTATCGTAAGAAGAAATTGCTGTGCTTACCTTTACATAAATTTGTTAATTTTAATTTACGCCTCATGTACTCGAATTGAAAGCGCACCGAAAGAAGGCAACAATCGCAGTCAGTGAATGTGTTATGTGGCTATGAGATCATCATAATGAACTGAACGAAGAACTCCTCTGATTATGTACATGTATATATATATATATATAGGTATATTTATATACATATTTACATATATATATATGTATATACGTCTACATAGCATTAGCATAGGTAGGACAGAGAAGGCGCGCGCGCGCGCGAGCTCGCGCAACAAAATAATGTTTTACATCGATACGCAGACATGTTAACAGAGAGTGAACAACATATCCGCATAAGGCCTAAAAATAATAAATTTTTGGACTGTTCTTTTGGTTATGATAACTGTTAATAATGTCAAACATGGTTTTTAAATATTTTTATTAATTTTTCCCTCTTAGAAAACCTGTTAACGCAGATGCCATGTATATTTATACGAACGTGCGGTTCTCCTTACGGCTATTGCCACATATTGAAATTGAAAGAATTTCTTTTTGTTTTTCTTCTTCTTCTTCTTCTTCTTTTTTTTTTTTTTTACAATTTCAATTACTGCGACAACATGAACGCAAGGCTACGTCTGCATTTATAGCTAGTGATGGCTGGAAAAACGACTGGTTGCCTCTTAGACTCAAAAAAGAGCCTGAAGAACGGACAAGAACATTCTGTGCAAACCTATGCCGTAAGGTAATCATTAAGTGGCTGGTTGGCTTGCTTGCTTAGTGGTCTTCTTTTTTTTTTTTTTTCTTTTACTTTTTTTGACTCAATACCTGATTGTTTGAAAAAACTGTTAACAATAGATGTATAGACAAAAAGAGGATTAGGTTTCATATTAAAGATTATTTAAATATAGTTTTAAACTATCGCACATATGTAGGCAAGTTCATGTCTATTAATTTATTTTATTATTCTAGATATTTTGCACATGTGTTCTATGTATATATAAAAGAGAGTAGAACTTTCAAATTATGCCCACATCAGTAAACAATATTTCAAGTCGTTAAGGTCCATTTGAAAGAGAAAAGAAACATATTGAATTTCTTTTTACACGCATCGTAGGAATCGGCTTAGAATTGTATTTGTAAAGCATATATGTATTCTTGACAAATTTGAAAACTACGTTCCCAACTCTTCATTCAAGATTTCATTGATGATTAAAAGCTCAAAACTTTGCAAAGCAAACTTAATTGAAAATTTTCTTATCATCATTTTCGACAAGTTACGTTTAAAAACTAAATCAATTCACGCTACTGACCATTATTATCAGCAATCTTACATATTTCTCACCTTTTCTTCAAATTTTCCAAAGAAATTCAAAAACTTTGAGGTTCAAATATTCCTTTGACATAAGCTTTGTACAAACACTAAAAATCAATTAAGTGACTTCACTCATAATCCTAAATAAGAGTAAGTAAAAATATTACCTACATCAGTCTAGAGCTATTCTCTACGTTTTATCTGAACAATCATATAATTTAATGTGTATGCTTTACAAATGAATGGATCTATGGACTACACACTACTCGCTAGATAGGATGCATAAAATTGGAAAACAAACGAAAAGTCGTACCAACATTTTTAATATTAAAGTCAACAAAAACATAATACCGGGTCGTGACCCACCGTTATATATTCTACATGACTTCGCTTTACATAGTTATTCATATGATGACTTTTCACAATGATGTGTTATATGGGAAAAGATCGAAAAAATAATTTGATCCGAACCATTTTTAATACAAATCGTCTTTGACCCAAACCATTCCGGTGCACCGAATTTCATCAAAATATCTGAAAAATTGCGACCAATATGTTGAACAAAAGAAGACATGACGGACAGACAATTCTGAAAATAATTCTAAATTCTGATTGGTATAATAAAGGCTAGATGTATCTCAAATCCTTTTGAGCACAGTTTTAAACTCGTTGACCAGCTGATCATTGCAAACAAGGGGCCAAAATGTTTGGAGTTGCCTTCGTCTCCATTATGATAAAAGGCTATAAGAATTTGCCATTTCTATAGGTGTAATCGAAACTATGCCTCGATTAAGCTTTCACAATGTCGCACTAACTATTAGTTCTATCAACCTCTACATGGTCTATTGGAATTACATAGTGACCCATATATGATTTGATCAAGACGCGAGTCCAAATGTGATCAGAGTTCTGATTAATAACTTTAAACGTATTATTTGAAGCAATTACTGATCAAATTTAGCTATTAATTATTTGTTTATATATATATGTATGTATAGTTATTATTGCCATTTTTCTTTTGTTTTTTGGATCCTTCGTGTTGCCATTAAACGTGTATACATATTATGATGCTAACAGGGTACTTATAATCTTAAATCTCTCTTCTTTTTCTTACTTTGATATTTGTTGAATGTTGGAATGTGAATAATAAATAAGTAAATAAATTGCCCTCGCACATACAATCTAAGATCGATATGCCGTGCGGACTGATTTTTGATGGCTTTTTATGCCAATTAAACAATGTGCATTTAAAAATCTCGATCAATACTGTATACAATTTTCCTTCCTTTCTAATTCCTATTATATTTCAGAGGTTGAAAATATGCTGGTTTTGTCCAAACGTCTGTAATATTCAAGAGCAAACTTCAAGCATCCTGTAAAGTATATTTCCATCCTTTTGTAGCTGTATCGCTTTTTGGGCACCATCGTGTTCGCTCGCATAGGAGGTGTTTTCGGCGTCATTTAAAAAAAAAAAAATATATATATATATATATACATATATATTCTTGATCAACATCAGCTTGTCAATCGATCTCTATCCCGTCCTTGTCCGTCTCTCCTTGCATAGTAAACAGCATTCTTGTGGTATCACAAAATAAAACATCGAGCTCAAGTTTAACATACATATACAAAACTCTAGCGTTTGAGTTGGTATTAAAAAATCAGGTAAATTGACCGAAGGATATATCTATAGTATGACGTAAAATGAAAATAAATCTGGTTTCAAAAAACGAAGCAATTCTATTTCTTCAGTTTAATACGCATAAACTGCAATGGATACCATCCTAAATATTTCCACATATATTGAATGAGTGATGATACAGTACGAGTGAAAACATGGAAAAAATCGACTTTGCCCATCTGGTATTATAGGATAATCAAATTTTTTCCTTAATATTTTTTAAAACACAATTAATATTGATATATTGACACAATCAATATTGATATAGATAAATATAATTTTCATATATGATATTATATAAGTTTAAAAAAATCATTTCCATTGTTAGTAAGAGGGGGGGCGCGAGAGAGAGAGAGAGAGAGAGAGAGAGAGAGAGAGAGAGAGAGAGAGCAGAGAGTAAGAAAGACAAATAAAATATCTTATTCGTTTTCATTATGTAACAATTCTTTAATTTTTTATATAATTTTCTCTATCATTTTAGCGATATTACAGCGCTCTTCTGTTGATGTGGGACGTATAAAAATACAGGGCGTAGCCACTTGCTTATACTTGTGTATGGATCCATGCGGTGCTGTTTACGGCTCGGTAAGTAAGAAAAACATTTTACTCCTATTAAACCGTATTCAACGATAGTGTTACCCTATGGCTGAAAACATAATGAGGTCTAGCTTATAATACCGAAAGTCTGGGGGATAAATTTAACTTATTTTATGAATTTTTACGTATTCATAGATTTATAAATCGCACGCAGCCATAAACATATATATATATATATATATATATGTAGGAGCGCATATATATATAGACACATATGTGTATACGGGCGTATATATATATATAATATTTATATTAAACATATTAAATATATTACATAAACATATTAAAATTATATCTCAGACCTGAAAATGTAAGCGGTGCTCGTTTTTCAAATATTTCAATTCCCTGAAACCACATATCCATGATTATATGTCTCTATATTTGTTGAGGTAGACGATTCTTTCGTTTGACATTAGAGTTTTGGGATACGCCATTTTGATACTTTGCAATTTTCGTAATTCAAATCTGTGGGAGTTCCACACGTCTTGGGAATGTTATTAACGAAGGAGAAAGGGGGAAAAAAGTGAAGCCTGCTATCCGGGCAGAAACTGTGTGGAATTAGGAATTGATTAAAATAATTTGAACATTTTTTTCTGGAGAATTGAAATTGAAAATTTATTGTGGATAATTTGCATTCCTCTCTTTAAAAAAAAGAAGGAAAAAGAAAAACGAAAGACAATTTTTGAAATGAGGAAAAGTAAAGGGATTATGAGTGGCCGCAGCCTGGTGGGTGTATGCTCAATCGCTAAGTGCTATCCTTCCATCACTATAGCTACGATCGAGTCTCCTCTACCGCACTGCCAATAGGAATGTTTTTTACAATTGCATAAAAGTAAGATAGGAAGCTGAAATTTGGGTCACCATCGTTTCTTGATCGACTGAGAATCGAATATTAAAGAAATGAAGACGATGAGTGTGATGCCCACAATGAACAAAAAACTGGAATTGAAGCTTGAAAAAACTGCAACTGCCCGTCTGGACTTTCGTATAAAACTTTCAATTCCGTGTAGATATTTCCAAAAACTGTTAGACAAAGGATTATCGAAAATGGTGCCGATCATATTAAGTTTGTAAAGTTCCTACACGGTAGTAGCCTTTTAGGAAAGTGTTCGAAATAATACTTCCTTAGGAGATTAGTCATTTATAGTATAGTAATTATATCAAATCGCACTATTTATTTTTTGTGCTTACACTTGTGGTACCCTTGTGTATTAAGTCTGTGCAACGCCCGTAAGCGTGGATGCATTAGGTTAATGTATACAACACGCAGTACCACTTAAGCTGGACTCAACTTTTACATTGCCAATTCATAATCACTTTCTAAAATGATTTAATTTGGTCTGTCCGTCTGTCCGTCTTGCTTTCTCTTGTTCAATCTACAGGCTACAATTTATGGGACACATTGAAGAAATTTGATATAATGGCGTGTTTTGGACCAGGGACGAACGCAATCGAAAATGATTCGAATCGGATCACCTTTTCGACCACTTTCAGTATATGCCTTTATTTTCGAACCACTACTATGTTTTTTTTTTTTTGTTATCTTATATATCATCTATCACGTTTTACGTATATCACTGTAAACAAATTTGTCCTCTTTTGTTCTATTCAGCAACTTTATGACTTTAATGATGCGTGTAATGATTACGGAACTGGGACCGTACCTACTTACGTACGTGTGTGCAAAGAAGCAAATAAATAAATAAATAACGACAGCGTACAAGAATTCACCCTTATATAAAAAAAAAAAAAATGTTTATACAAAGGGATAAGAAATGCCGGCGTCCTTCACAGACTAGAAAAATTAGGCCACAAAATGGGGAGAAAACATTAAGGGTCACATACGTTTTTCATGTACTTTTACGAAATTGATTGTAATTCATTTACACAATTAATGTGTGACATTTTATCGTCCTACTTTTCTATATCTTACACCTCTTATGCAGAGTATATTAAGTTCGAGCGGACGTATGTAAAACCCAGAAGGGCTTAAGGTGGGCCCACCTTGTATTATACCGACCGAGTCAAAAAATGATTGTAAATCGATGTAAGTCTGTTCATCTGTCCAGACTGGCGAATCTCTCTGTGATATCAGGTAAAGCAATTATTGAGATATTTACATAAAATTGCTTCGAAACAAAGAACAAAATCTAGTGAAATCTAGATTCGATGATGATATAACGTATTATTTTGAGAAATCGGTACATACAAAAATAATGGCAAATCTGAAAATTTTTCGACAAAGTTGGCTCTGTAGTATCTATATCTCTATAGTATCTCCACATTTGAAATTCGAATGAAAAATTTGGTTCAGCAGGGACCTCTTCTCAAAGAGCTGTTTCCCCTAAAAATGAATCTTTACATGGTAAGAGGGTGTAATTTTCAATACTTCGTGGTTAAAATTGATCCACAATAGCAAATTAAAGAAACCAACCTTACTAAGTTTGGACCAGGTAGCTCAATTTTTTGGCCATGACCGCATATGAGTATTCTCAGGAAATGCAACCTTTATATGCCAAAAATGCCTAATTGGTAATGTTTCATAATGAAAATTTGTTCATGATAGTAATTTGATATACAAGTTAAATGGGCTAAATTTGAACCATATCGGTCTATTTTTTGGACTCCACTCCTTATAAGATTTCTTATGAATAGTAGATCCTTTAGAAAACGACTTACTTTTTAATATTAACTGAGGAAATTTCGTCCACAGCAGCAATTTAGCAAAAAATTTAACGGGTTTGACTACATAGATCTTTTTTTAGACCTTAACATATATAGGAGTCATTGTGGAAACCAATTTCCAATAGGAAGAGAAAGTGCAGTTCCAAGTTTTCTCTGAAGAAAACTAAAAGATAATAGAATTTTTCAGAAGTAAGTTAAGATTGTTAAATTTGGTTCATTCTAGGTAAGGTTCTGACCTTTAATATACGTCATTTCATGAAAAGTATACCTTTGCATGAAAATAATCAGCAATTTTTGGTGCATTATTACCAAAATTGTACTAAGCGAAGTGATGTAGGGTATCTAAAAGTCGACCTTGCCCGACTATATATATAAATTTTTTTTTAACCCTCAATAGAAAACATATGCGGTCATCTTATTTTCAATGCTTTCGTTACAATAATTGAAGAGTCCCTGGATGCAATCGACACATTTTTATGTGAAATGTACCGAAAAAGAATAATGTTTTTTCGGTTTCTATTGAATTTTTGTCGGCAAAATTAGGCGCCGCATACCATTTAATAGCATTTAATTTTTTCGGATTTTAAATACATTTTATTTGAAATAAAAAAAAAAAAAGACAGACGTCTGTATGTGTTTTTAACTAAATGCGATAAACATCTAAATATCTGCTCAAATTGATTTTAATAAATAAACGATTGAAAAACGTCTATAACTGACCGAAAAAAACTAATCCACACCTTACCATCCAAGTTTTAACTGAATTTTTAACACTTTCTTTGACAATCTCTCTATGAGAGACAATTCATTGTCACGCCAGCTGTCACGAGTAAGCATTAAAAGACGCGCCATCTAAAGACGGCATCGTTGCAACGGCAAACAATAATACCGAGATAAATTATGTCAAAATAGGTGTGAGCACTTCATAAACTATAAAAGTTTATGTGACAAATTGACAGACAACCGCATAGAAAAACAATAGGTTTCGGTTTTGTTGCTCCTTTTTTTGGTTTTTTAGCCTTTTGTACATTATAAGAACAACAAACGTTTGATTACATAAGAATTCTAAACATCAGTTTATCAATTGTTTTTAATTTGTTAGTAGTTTTATGTTTTGTTATACTTAAAAAATATATAAAAAGAGATCGACTCGTTAAGATTACAAATAAATAAAATTGAAAAAAAAAAAAGTAGAAAATTATTATATATAAGCTGAACAAAAAAACGAGCAGAAATTATTATAGGTTCTGTTTGAGTTTTTCTTTTGAGAATAATCTTTTGTAAAAGCCATATAAACACAAGACAATGGAAGAATTTATTAAACATAGAATTCTTTTGGACTTGTCCGCCTGCTAACAAAAAGTTTATAAGAATATAAATTTTTACATCGACTAGCGCGAGTTATAAAAAGTACATTAACTCTGTCGTAGTGTTTGTCATTCTCTTCTTATAGGCGACATACCCTACACCCCGTTGTAATACAAGGTATATTAAATTTGTGCGAAGATATGTAACATACAGAAGGGCTTAAAATAGACCTACATTATGTTATAGTTATATAAGCTTGTATGTCCGTCTGCCCATCTGCTTCTCTGTGCATCGGCTGGTTTGTCAATCTGTCCATGTAAATTTGAGTTGTGCAATTTTTGAAACAGTTTAACTAGACGGTTGGATGAAAAGACTTATTCCGTCTAAAAACTTAATGCTTGAATTTTTAGTAAAACCTATTTTTACACCCATTGTAGATTTGTCCGATGTTGTCAACATATAATACATATATAAATAAGTCTGTCTGTCCATTCATGTAAACTCATTGCTGTAATCTTGAAAAACTGTTAAGAAAAGCAAGCCTGGTGTTAAATTTTTTTTATAACTGCCATGAATCGAACTTTAGAAAATCAGAAAAATTTGTTCAAAGGTCCGATTAGCATTATGACTTTCTGCCCCTATTAATAAATGCTTATTTAAGAAATTTAAAGCATTCAGTACAAAAACGTTAGGTTTCTTCTGTACTCAATTTAAATTCTTAAGTTGGAAATTGCACGTTTCACCCATAATTACGAAAAGACCATACAAACAGAATGTTGGTCTTCATATTTATATCATGGATAGCAGGATGTAAGCTACGTAAAGCAAGAAACCTTGAATTGCTGACTCCATAAAATACCTAAATTAATCAATGCAATTGAAAGAGTCTGCCTTTGTCTGTCTATATGTAAGGAAACCACTAGCAAATCTTGGTAAATGAAGTCCAAAAGACTTATTAAACTTGCTTTTACCCATAGTCTACTTTTACTCAAAAA